GCTCTATTGGATTGATATCTGGTGGCTGTGAAGGCTATTTCAGTACAGTTACCTCATTGTCCTATTAATTGTATTTTATTAGTGCCTACCCCTACCTCAACCCTGAATCCAACCCTCACAGTAATGTAAAAACTAAAATTATGCTAATATTGATGGGAGTATCCTCAGCTGTATCCCATCTAGACCTCACTGTGCTGCAGGAGAGGGTTGGGTCTAGATTGGATACAGCTGAGGATGCTCACGTCAATATAGCATCATTTTTGTGACACTCTACAACAAATAATACTTTTACATTACCAGGAGGGTTGGGTTTAGGGATGAGGTAAGGGTAGACACTAAAAAAATACAATTCATGTGTAATTTAATAAATAGTTTTAATAGTTCTCATTAACTTCTGATTGCAGCTGTATCCTTTTTAGCAACAACCGCGGCACCCATTACCCGTCATATAAAAAAGAATGGGATCATTATGAAACTTTTTAGAGGACAAAATATATGTTCTATCACACATTTAAGAATCGGAGTATCAGAAATTTCACAATATAATTAGAACATTTGTCAATATTTACAGAAAAGGGAAAAAAGAAACCAAATACGATATATACATAGATCATTTTGGACTGGTGGGTCATGTGATAAACTTGACGCCTCGCCATGAGAACTTTAGAACGCGATGGATCACAAAATGGGTCACAAAAACTCAAGCAGGAGGGTCCAATATTATCTGGATGCAGCCTGATGCAAGCTGAGATTGCATCACTCAGCGATGCAATGTCAGACACATGCACTCAATGGAGTGAGTGACTACACTGTGATGGGTAGGGTTAGGGGCGGGGTTAGTTGAGCGCATTAAAAAGCATTGGATGCAGCTCAGATTGCACTGCACCAGGTCTGTATCCAGACCCCTCTCGGAGGGTCAGCTGGAGTATTTAAAACTCATGTGTGAAAGGGTTAAATCATTGACTAACCTTGAACCTTGAGGTAAACCTTGAAACCGGTTATTGCCCCATATTTATGCAGATGCATGTTTCTGTTTTCCCATTTGGCAAGGTTGTCTCGTTATTATACAGAATCTTGAAACCACTCCATTATCATCGGCCTACCAAATTCATCATCTTCTAATTGCATGCAAATCGCAAGCTGCATGTCATCACCTTCTCATCATTATTCAAAGCATTTTTCCAATCAAGTAGGCTGTCTTAAAAGCATACCGGTACAATATTCATTTTGGACGGGATCAATCCATTCTGATCCGCAGTAGTCCCTGGTGTTGACACTATCGATGGCTTGAATCAGCAGCAAAAAAAAAAAAAAAAAGACAATGCGCAACCTTGCCTGGAGGCAGAGGTTGCATTCTGGGGGACTGCAAAACCTGAATAACGATTCCAGCCATAACAGAAGAATGCCTCACAAGGATCAGGAGAAGGGGAGAGGAATAGAAGCAGACAAGATGGTTATTCAGGGGGAAAATGAAATGTCAGAGGGTTTGAGAAGGAGACAGATAAGCAGTAATTCAGCAGTAGTTCATTTGGCTTTGTTCAGGGGCCTTCAGCACAGAAACATAGGTCAACAATGAGACGTAATCAAATTAAGGGTGTTGTTTCTTCCTCTGTGACCACATGGTTAGGTAAAATTCAGATTAAATGCAGTTTTGCTCAATTCCATTTCATTAGCTGGAATATAGTGCTTTAGTACCTGCTCACTTTAAACAATATTTGTCTTCATTACTTCATTTCCCATAAGTATTTAAATTAAAAGTTTGTTCAAGCATTAAAAACCATGATCTAAACCAACCAGTAATAAGTAAACAACATTGTAAACTTTAGAAAAGAGCAAAGAAGTATATGAAAAGTAAACATCGACAACAACCAAAATACAATCCAAAAATCCCAAAATGCTCTTGAAAATGATTACGTACTGTAAATTTAAAGATGTTAGCTGTAGCTATAAAAGATAAAATTGGGCTTACTCAAACATTAAAGGTGCAGTAGGTGATCTGCCAAAATGCTAACTGCTTAGCATATTATCTTTGAACGGCGAGGAGGGACTGTGTTTCAAAGCCACACCCCCTGAAATCGCGCGACAGCCGACAGACAACCCATTAGTTCATGTCATTCGCCAGTTAGTTAGTGCCAGCGCCGTGCAGGAATTACATGAAATACTTTGCCAGACTTACATGCTATTAAAGAGCGAATATTCAGAGTAGCATGGTAAACAGTATAGGAAGGCTATCATTGTTCAAAAATGACCCAATGTGAATGTAAAAGCAACTTCAGCTCAATAAAGCAGGTTAGGCGGAATAGCGCTATTTACTGGTGTTTTGTTGTTAAACTAAATATAGATCTACATTATAGATGCTGTCAAAGAACCTTATGAAACTGAGAATAAACACATCAATCTTTCACCGGGAGATTTCAGTGGCTTAAGAACACGTCTGTGCATGTAAGTCATTCATACCAAAACACAATCTAACATAAAATAGTTTCAAAACAGAACATCACCTGTCTAACAGTAATACTTCAGCCATGGTGTCGTCCTTCCTCTAGCGTGCTAAAGTAACTCCAATACTGATTCAGGTTTTTAAAAGTTTCAATTCAGCTTTTGATTTCTCCCGGTCCGTCTCGTGACCGCGCGGCCGCTTTAAGGGCGAATTATACCCGCGCCTGGCTTTACAGTAATCGGCCCGAGCTCGGCTGTCCTTCGGCGCCTCCGGCTCCAACTCGGCATCTGCGAGCGGCCCGCAGCTCACTCGGAGCGCATGCGTTTGTAAAGCAGACGGGCACGCGCTAATGGCGGATCTGCGTGAACAGATGCGCAGAAGTCGGAATCTACATTTGCTGACAGACAGTCTGACCTGCCTATCGGAATTAAGGGAGATGATGGTCCGACTCTATTTAATTAGAAAAACATTTTTTAGTTTTACGCTTTACCCAGAATATAAAAATACATATAAACACATTTAGATCATTTACTGTAATCATTACTATTGGACTGTGAAGAGACTTTCAACCAGCACAACAAAAAATGTTTCGTAAGACAATCACCTACTGCACCTTTAAGTTGGCAGATTTGAAGTAACTTCGGGTGTAGTCACACTAGGCACGGTTGCCTTGACCTATGCACTGGCATGATTGTGCCCCCTCCCCTTTCCCCCTAAATGCTGATTTATACTTCTGCGTCAGGTGCACGTGTATTCACCGGCGCAGCCTTTGTGCGGTCGCATAGCCCTCACCATGGCTGACGCACACCTTTTTTAAAAAATGTAACTACACTTCACAACGCCATGTAGCGCAAGCTCTGTGATTGGTGGGCACGGTAGCTGTGACGAGTGTGGGCGGTGCTGAGAGCCACGAGCCCAATAAAGCGAGTATTTACAAGTGTCGAGTACCGTGAAGGAGCTCCAAATGGAAACTGTTGTTTTGTGTTTACCTTATGATTAAAGTTGTTGTATGTTTGCCGGTCCCCGCCTCTGAATGAGTTAGTTTTAGCTATCTGTACAGTGAGGTAGCATTTAGAAAAAACAAAACACCCGAGAAGAAACACGACATAGAGAAACATAAAAACCTACTGCCAGCTAGAGTTTCGGAAGTGTTATTGCAGAGCAACACAAACAGCACGCAGATACTGTATATTAATGCATGGCTATGAGCAAGGCGCCATACTGTAGGTCATGCTGATTACTTGATGCAGAAGTGTAAACCTTCACACTGCAATTTTACCCTCTGAGCCTGAGAATGCTTACATCAAGCATGATGCGACTGTTCAGTTTGACAAAAGAGAAGCGCTCTCGGTACAGTGGATTTGCTTTAGTTATATTGTTTTGTATTATTTTATGTCATTTGGGTTGTGGTGACAGTCAAATATTTTGCTGAACAGATCCACCACTTTTGAAGTGGAAAACATTTCATGAAAATCATCGTGCTACATGTATTAGGAGGTTTGCTGAAGGAGGTTTGCTGAAGGCAGTAGCTGACGTGCAGCCAGGTGTTTGCATCTTTAATAAACTACGAGAGTTTGCATTCATTGAAAAGTAAGAACGATTAATAAATCCACATGATACAGTCTCTTAAAAGTGATGTCGACTCTTCAATTTTGTGCTCAGGTGCACTTTAGACTCGCACTACAAGCCTACCGCGCCAAAACCCAAACAAACTGTGCTTTGGCACACCTCTTCCAACTGGGCCAGCGCCAGCCAACTAAAACACCCCAGGCGCAATTCAGAGCTCTCACACTTGTCAATTGAACCGGGCAATGTGAGTCAAACATGCTCGGGTATGGTTTAGATAGATGCCCAAACTCGGTCCTGTAGGGCCAGTGTCCTGCAGATTTTAGTTTCAACCTGCCTTAACACAACTGCACAGATGTTTCTAAAAGCCTAGTAAGAGCTTGATTAGCTAGCCTAGGTATGTCCATTTAGGGTTGAAACTAAACTTTGCAAGAGACCGGACTCCTCCTGGACTCCTCTGGCCTAGCGTGAGTATATCCTTAACTGCATTGAAGGTACACAATTATCAGTTATAGATTTCCCTGGTAATCGAACCTACAACCTTAACAATACTACCACCACTTGAGCTACAGTACAAATCTTAAGAAACCAAACCAAATCTTATTTTGCTTGCTGGTGTGTTTCACTTTGAACAATTTGGACACTGTTGTTTTTCAGAATGCTGCTGATTTGGTGTGCTGTTGATTTTGGTTTGGCAGTTTAAGTACAAGCGGGAATTTATATCAAGAGAAAGGCCTAACTCGGTTCTGGTCAGTATTGATAAGAAAGTTTTGGCAGGGGTTTAATAGGTTTTTTTTTTTCAACACCACTCTGCACATTTTGTATATCTCACTTATCTGACATGCACAGTTCAATTCATGGAGCTCCCTGACACCAAGCTGATGATCTGATTCGGGTCTGTTACATTAGGAAGACATACAAAATCGTAACCTTACGTTGAGAACCAATGCTTTATTTTCAGTCACAACACTGATGGTTAAATATTTTCCCACAGGTGGTGGTCAAGACAAGAACTGAGTATCAAACGGAACAGAAGAACAAGGCTAAGCTGAAGGTTCCCAAGGTGGAGGAGTTCACCATTAGTGTGACCGATGGAGTTTCTGAGAGGCTGAAGGTATGGCTGGGCTTCCTTTGGCATTACTCGATAGACATTATATTGAACAAGCAGTGTACAGTGACATCATCTGTGTCAGGTCCTTAGAAAACTGGCTATGGTATTTCTTGTGTTTTGTTTGCCTTTTGAAAAAAAAAGTCATGGCTGATTGTGGTCACTGAATGTTTTGTCTGCCCAATGGAAAACCAGCTATATGGTAAAACTATGGAATAAAAATGGTCAAACTCGGAGCATCATGATAATTGAGGTGCTGCATCTAAAAGTTAAAAAGTTAAAATGCTGCCATCAAAGGTATTGAGGTATGCAAATCCGAATCCAAAATATGCCTGCCCTGCCTCCAGAGGTTGCAACGGCAGCATAGATGTGTCCTTCACTCTTTTTGATATCCCACAATTATGTTCCTGCCATTTCTGACAGTTGAGCTAAAAAATGCATCTCTTGGGTTTCAATTAGTGTAGATTTGTTTTGGACCAGCATTTTCTAATTTTGATTGCATTTCTAGTGAGAAGTCAGTATGGTAGTAAGCAAATATTTGCTTAACTATCAACTAAAGCTGTTCTGTTGTACTTGATCAAAGCATTATGCAAAATGAATCAGTTTTATGAGGTGCTTTTATGCTCACAGTCAGCAGCCTAAGCTTTTGGACAAACCCAAAGTTGTATTCAGTGTTTCAACTAGCTAATATCATTATCCCAAAACGACAAAGTTAACATGCTAATATTTATATATATATATTTTTTAACAGCATTTTCAACAAAAATGATTTATATTTATGCCATTCTGGTCTCTTGATAATCAAACTATTTGAAATGTTATAAAATAATATTTTAGTCATCAATTAAATTCATGCTAAATTTTGCAAAAAAATTACTAAATTTTTTTTAACTAAATTTTTCAATTATTTTGCTTCTCTTGATTTTTCCACTTTATTACATTTGTATTTAATATTTTTCTATAACATATAAATTTGGGTATACTAGTTTTTGGATCATTATCGTAAGTTATTTTATTAGATAAGCTCCAGATATGGCTTCAGTACTGACTAATCTAATGTACTCGGACAAATATAATATTGTATAGCTTCCTGTTAAAAATATTTAATTTGTGAGGGGTGTATTTATATACGCTGAGCACTGTAAATACTGACATTTTCACAAATTGTGAGTAGGAATTTTGACTGTGTTGTCATTTGTACATCTACATCTTTTTAATATTTTAGTACAGTTCTATCTTGTAAATGTGTCCTAAATATCTGCTACTTTCAGGTGCCGTGACTGCTGAAAACATGCCATCTTGTTTTAACATTCTTTGATTCAGCTATTTGGACTAAATCCCGGAAGCAGTTTTTATGAGGCTTTTGTGTGATATCGAGGTGTTGGCAGTGTGAATTTTTTTTATTTTATTAATGCAGCGCTTGAGAGTCTGGAGGGACATTTAATGTAGCAGTGAAGGTCATTGGAGAGGCAGATGAAAAAGACAGCCAACAATCGAATTAAGATCAACTTCCTTCTTAAATAACACTGATTGAATCCATCAGCAACATCAGTGCACTATGAAAATAAAGCATATTAAACGTATGTATTTCCACAGACACCGTAGAGATGTCCTGGTCTGAGGTTCTGCTTCAGCAACACTTTTTATTTTTTGAGGTATGAAAGGAAACGTAGAGTAGTTGAGCATTTCTTGTAAAAGCTTGTTGTAGGAAACCGTTGGTGAGGTTGTTGTCTAGAACAAGTTATCGAGAGAAGAAAAAGCTAACTGCAGGGTGATCGCTGCTGTGTGAAGCCTCCCAGTTGGATTTTATCATATTCCCTGCTGTAGCTCCACAAGCAAGTGAAGAAGGAATGTTCCCCCTCATTAAATGTTGAAAACAAAGGAGAGTTGTGGTCTCTTGGTGTATTATGCAGCCAAGTGGAACATATTAACATATCATTTTAGAATAAATGTGGTATTAAGACAGCTTAATTAAACGGGGAGGAGTTTTTTTCTGCAATTTTTCTGTTGTTGTTGTTAGTGCAGTTGGCTAGGGGGTTTGGCAGATAAAGTGTTTGGCCCCAACAATAGTGCTACACATATTTACAGAAACACATTCAGCACTGTTAGTTTGACTTGATGTGTTACATTACAAAATAAGTGTTTAGTTGGAAATAATGTTGTCACGAATCAAGACAAGGAGGATCCAAATGCGAGTGTTTTAATGAACAAAGGACACACGAAAGTTCAAACAAAAGAGAGCCACTGACCACAGCGATGACATCAAACAGACAGCGGATGATACCGGGAGACAACAGTCAGGAACAAGGACAAACAAGGACAACAACGGACTGATAACCAGCACATACCACAGGAGGAATTTTATAGCCAGCCAAATGAGGTTCAGCTGGAGGATGATAAGTCAGCTGATGACATCAGCTGATCCTAGCACGCTGTCAACACAAAAGGTAAACAAACACACACCCTCACACATGACAACACACAAGGCATGATACATAACATACAGGAGGAACACACAGATCCATAAACCGTGACAGTACCCTCTCTCCTAAGAGCGCCTCTTGGCGCTCCCAGAAGAGTTTACCTGGCGATTGTAATCATCGATGAGAGAATGATCCAATATGTCCCTTGCAGGAACCCAACTTCTCTCCTCTGGACCGTAACCCTCCCAGTCCACCAAGTACTGGAATCCTCGTCCCCTCCGTCTCGAGTCCAGAATGCGCTTAACCGAATAAACCGTCTCCCCTTCTACGAGACGCGGCGGGGGGGGAACCGGAGTGGGCGGATTAATGGCCGTATGAAAAACGGGCTTCAATTTAGAGACATGAAAAACGGGATGAATTCTCCTGTACGCTGGAGGAAGTTTGAGGCGGACTGCCACCGGACTAATGATCTTGGTGACAGAAAACGGGCCAATGAATTTAGGTGCAAGTTTGTTACATACGGTGCGGAGAGGAATATTTTTAGATGAAAGCCACACTTTTTGACCGACAACGTAAACGGGAGGCTTAGACCGGTGGCGATCGGCTTTAGCCTTGGTGCGCAAACCTACTTGAAGGAGGGTCTGTCTGGCCCTATTCCAAGTACGTCGACACCTCTGGACAAAGGCGTGGGCAGAGGGAACCGCGACTTCGGATTCCAGACTGGGAAAAGCAGGTGGCTGGTACCCTAAACTACACTCAAATGGAGAGAGGCCCGTGGCAGACACTGGTAATGAGTTATGTGCGTACTCAACCCATGAGAGCTGCTGGCTCCAGGAGGATGGATTCTGAGAGACTAAACATCGTAACATGCGTTCAAGATCTTGGTTGGCTCTCTCCGTTTGACCGTTACTCTGAGGATGGAAACCAGAAGAAAGACTAACAGTCGCCCCCATTAAATGACAAAACTCTCTCCAAAATTTAGAGATGAACTGAGGCCCCCTGTCAGAAACCACATCCGTCGGGAGGCCATGAATACGAAAGACATGGTCAATGACAGCAGCCGCTGTCTCTCTGGCTGATGGTAATTTGGGCAGAGGAATAAAGTGAGTGGCTTTCGAAAACCGGTCCACTACGGTCAAAATCACCGTATTCCCGTTGGAGGGGGGAAGACCCGTAACGAAATCTAGCGCAATATGGGACCAGGGTCTCGATGGCACTGACAGCGGCTGAAGAAGTCCAGCGGGGGGGCGATTGGAAGTCTTAGAAACAGCACAAACTGAGCAAGCCAACACAAAATTCCTTATGTCACGAGCCATAACTGGCCACCAGAATCGTTGTTTGATTAGATACAAGGTACGACTCACCCCTGGATGACAGGCCAACTTGGAAGAGTGACCCCAACGGATGACGTCAGACCGTAATTCCTCTGGCACAAATAAACGACTCGGTGGGCATCCAGGCGGAGGCGTTACCCCTTCTAAGGCCATGCGGACCCTTGACTCGATCTCCCAGGTGACAGCAGAGATAAAAAGTCTGTGTGGCACGATGGTCTCAGGAGATGATGCGCGCTCAGAGTGATCAAAAATTCGAGAAAGTGCATCAGGTTTAACATTCTTGGAACCTGGTCGGTACGAGATGGAAAAATCGAAACGTCCGAAAAATAAAGCCCACCGCGCCTGCCTAGAGTTCAATCTTTTGGCGGATTGGATGTACTCCAGATTTTTATGATCGGTCCAAACGATAAAGGGAACCCCCGAACCCTCTAGCCAATGACGCCACTCTTCCAATGCAAGCTTGACGGCCAACAGCTCTCGATTACCAATATCATAATTTTGTTCAGCATTGTTGAGACGATGAGAAAAATACGCGCAGGGATGCATCTTGCCGTCCGAGGAAGAGCGCTGGGACAGGATAGCACCGACCCCCACCTCTGATGCGTCAACCTCCACCACGAACTGCCGTGATGGATCAGGGGCAATAAGAATAGGTGCTGAAACAAAGCAGCTTTTCAGACGATCAAACGCAACTTGCGCTGCATTGGACCACCTGAACGGAGTCTTGAGGGAGGTTAAGGCAGTCAGAGGTGCGGCGAGCTGGCTGAAGCTGCGAATGAAACGCCGGTAAAAATTGGCAAAACCAAGAAACCTCTGCAGGGCCTTGCGGGAATCTGGGGTTGGCCAATCTACCACAGCCTGGACTTTCTCTGGATCCATGCGCATCCCCTCGACTGACACGATATGTCCCAGAAAAGGAACAGACTGTGCATGAAAAACGCATTTCTCCGCCTTGACATAAAGCCCATTCTCTAGCAGCCTCTGAAGCACTCGCCTGACGTGCTGAACGTGTTCCTGGAGAGAATGAGAAAATATCAGTATGTCATCCAGGTAAACATAAATAAACTGATCTAGCATATCTCTCAACACGTCATTCACGAGTGCTTGGAAGACTGCAGGGGCGTTGGACAGACCGAAAGGAAGAACACAATATTCAAAGTGCCCCCTGGGGGTATTAAAGGCAGTCTTCCATTCATCGCCTTCTCGAATGCGGACCAAATGGTAAGCATTGCGGAGGTCTAATTTCGTG